GTTAAAGTGCTCCTGTAGACCTTCCCCTAGGGTAATCCTCATTTCTTTTAAGTCTACTTGACTGATGATGAAAACTGTTAGACTCTTTAGAACATTACTTCAAATCAGTGAACCAACCATCCAATAGTAACCGTCCTCGCTGAACTTCATTTTGAGCTGATTTTGACTCTCTTCGATGATAGATGATCGGAATGTTGTCTTTTTCCCAGAATTAAATTTTAACTTAGCTGCATATAATTCAAAACCACATCCTTTCCCATATGATTGAATGGGTATAAAAGGTATATCAGGAGTTTCCAACAGGTGGAATAATTTTGTGATCATTCAAAACATTTGGGAATTAGCCAGCCCTTAGGACCATTACAGATTTTTTAAATTGGAACGATGTCTGGAGTTGCGAACCCCTTTAGTTCTTTTTGAAAATAAATCTTGGGCTTCTCGCTTTCAAAACGTGTATATGTGCACTGAAGAGCGTAATCACTTGCTTCGAGCCGCATTACATGTTATTGCTACTGAATCAATAATGAGTAGCCAATCAGATCAGAGACTGTAATACAGCCCTTTGTATTGCTTTTGCCTTTAATGCCATGAGCTCAAGGTTCTTTGTCCATTACTGAATAAGATACGGAGATTTGCATGTAAATGCACTTGAGAAATGCAGCACCGTAATGCAAACGGCTCATGTCATCCTCGGTCTTGACCCGAGGCGTCGTGTTTGAGTGCGTCATGCGATTATTTCAATCTGGCAAGTTAGGCGTTCATTCCGACTGTCACAATTCGCATGCACTGAATATTGCAAATAAAAGGTGTGTGCGTAAATATTACAAACTTATGACTTGCATCATGCATGCTCAGTAGAAAGGTAAAATTCTTTCTAGATGAGCCATTTATAGTTGAATTAGAATTCTTCCAAGGCCTAGCCAAACGGAGTTAAGACAATAGAATAGCAATTGGCGGTAAAGCTTAGTCGATGGCATTCTATCTCAGAGTTTGCAATTCTTCCACAAATTTATCTCCAGACATTTGTGTAAGCATCAAAAGCTGTGGAGTTGGCCATCATCTCTAGCAGGTTTTCTAGTTGTATCGTCGTGCCTACTTTCAATTACTAATTATAACACATTCTCGAACTAGTCGAATACAAAATAGATTTCAAAATCTCGAAGATATTTTTGTTAATGTACTGATACTTCAACCCGTTCGCTAACTTATCAGAAGGCCACAAAAGAACGCATGGCCTATTCACTCTTACATTGGTAGGTGCTTTCCTGTCTCTCATTTGCCAAACGATAGTGCCTACTTTCCACAAACAGCATCCGTCCTCCAAGGCCAGATTGTGATTGGTGTACGCATTTATACGGACCACAGCTGGCAATTCAGTCAGTGGTGGTCATTCTCAATGTTGGCGCGCACGAGAAGACGCGTTCTTCTTGTCGCCCTCATCTTGCCCCTTATAGTGCTACTTTTTGCCTATTTCAAACGTGACCGCGTCTCTTTGAATTATATCGAATCCCCTGAACCAACTGAGGAGGACTGCGTCATTCCGCCATTAGAACTATGGCCCGCTGACCTAAATCAGTCAACTGACCAATCACAAAATTGGCTGGATTGTGCCACAAATGGGCTTCGATTCACGATAGAAAAGCCGCGCGGGACCGTTGATATTGACAGCATTTTGCCGAAACGTGCGTGGCTAGAACATGGAATGCTGAGAATTTCCCCCGAAAATGATCAGTGTAAATGCGATGCTCTTCCAATATTTCGATTGGATGAGTACCGTTCTGTGTATGGAGATCCACTGGTTGATGTCAAATCTGGCCAATTTCTACAACATCCACAGGTCATGCTGCTTTGTCAGCCGAGGTTTAACTTCTCCGCTTGGAATGCGGACCTTCTGCTCACTCAACGGCGTTTCTATTTATGTGGAAGTAGTCCCGTAATTAATTCAACGCATGGAGCAAATTCTACAGCCGTAAATATTCTTCTTCTTGGTATAGATTCGTTATCTCGACTAGCTTGGCTTCGATATATGCCAAAAACGGTGAGAAAATTGACTTCTCTTACTCAATCGCGTGGCGCCATGTTCCAGAAATATCACATAGTCGGAGACGGAACTACTAGTAACCTGTTGGCTTTGTTGGTGGGCTTATTTGAACAGGAATTGCCAGAGAGTCGACGGTTTGCTTCACGACTTCTTAACCGTCTTGAGGGTTTGATGGAAACCCAGATATCTGGAGATAAGGAGTACAAAGGTACCAATACGACACCTTTGGACGAGTTTCCATGGATATGGAAGGATTTCAAGGCGAAAGCAGGATATGCAACACACTTTATTGAAGATACACCAAACTGGGGAACCTTCCAATACCGACTCCAGGGATTTGGAAATCTTGAACCACCGGTGGATAGTTATGGCAGACCCTGTATGGTGGCTGCAGCTCAGGATGAAGTGCGTTATGGGAAGGAGCCTGGATGTACAGCTTCCACGTAGGTGCACAAACTAGTAATTTGTCCACTTTGCCCTTGTTTGATTATTATTAAAGAATATTTCCTCAATCAGCCCCGTGGAACTTAGTGGACTATGTTCATAAAATATGCTCAACATTATTTCCCTAGCTCACCTTTGTAGGTGACTCATTTGGATTTTTGTCAACCAATTGAAGGGATAAGGACCTTACATTGTCTGACTAATCACGAAGCTACATTGATGTGTCTGTTAGTGTTGTGTGTGTGTGCATTCGAGAGCATTAGAGATTCTGAATAGCTAAAATGAAATTGGCACCTAATGATATGTCTAAGTGAAGATGTTATTGACTTGTCTCAATTAACTACAGAAAACGGGAAAAATTGTGGTTTTCTGCATAAGTTGACGCAGCTGCTTGTTACAGTGCTTAGGGATTGTAACATGCGTCAATCTGTCGGTACACTTTGTTGCATTCTCTCATGAATCTGATGCAATTGTAGCTTGTCAACCTTTCCGTCAAATTTTATTCAGTATTCGGTGGTGGTGCGTGTGCGGTGACAGAATATACCACAAACAGGTGGTTTAAATAAACAAACTGGTCATGTAGTGCGTCACCCGGACGTGCATTACGCTCAGTGAGACCGCTGTAAGGAAACAATCTGACACCAATGCGCTAAAAGTAGTCATAAATCCGGAATGATGGTGATTGAGGCAATAGGTAGTATCCACTTACATCAGCTAGTCAGGAAAAGCGTAAAGATTAAGCAAATGGGTCCCATATTTATTGACAATAGATGACAGGAAACCTCAGAGAATATCAGTTTGTTTTCACTTTTGTCCTCTACAATTTGAAAGCTCGTCACGCAGTTTGGATTGCTGGTTGATTGGTTGGGTGACTTGGGACCAAATCCCCAGCAATATTTCAACGCTTGTTAAGCTAAAAAGTGCCCTATTAGTTATGCCCAAGTAACCGACTCACCAACCTACGCGCCTGCTTTGTGGATCTATTTGTATCCAAGCCTATTCCAAACGTAATTGACTGGTCTATGCAATTGTTCGCTACGATCAATGCTTTGGTAACAAGGTGGACAAGTCATCTAGCCAGTTCAGGGTCCTCTTCTAACATGACAAAGCCTCATCTCACATTTTAGGAGGGAGGATGAAGAAGAGGGTTGGGACGATACCGGATCATCCTATTTTTTTATTGGCCATGGGCCTCATACTTCTACAGGTGGGGGTTTTTTCGCTAGGCCCTTAGGCGGTCACATGGCCAGGTACAAAGTAGATGAAGCATTTGAAATAAAGTGAGACCGATAAGGTGATGGATTCTGAGGGCAAAATTTTAAATAATTGCAAATTAGGGAAGATTTTATCCACTTACTGGACACATATGCTTTAGGGACACATCATCTCACAACAGTACACATTGTAGGGCAAAACGGTGCTCTATCCTTCCTTGTAGTCATATATGCGCCAGGGTGACAACCTTTGACGTATAACTGGAAAAGGCAGTCATTTTGCCGGACAGACCAAACCACATGGACCTTCAAATATGATAGACTGCTACGTTTTTACCTGCCTTTACCCTCTTCAATAAAACAATAATGAAACGTCAGGGGGTCCTTCTGATGTAATGGCTTTGAGTTCTGGAGGCAGTTTTTACTGATGAAAAAATAAGTAGAAATTGTTTTATCCTCTTTCTGTTTCTCAGGCCAACACACATGGTGTTACTAGAGTCCCTCCGTGAATTTTTCTACGTCAATTCGCATCGACCGCGTTTCTCGCTCACCTTTCTATCTGAGATGATCCATGAGGAGGCGCCGAAAGCGCAACTGGTGGATGCTGATGTGGCAAAGCTGTTGGAGCAAATCGATATGGAGGATGAACGGGGCTGGGGACCGTTTTACAACACCCTTGTGGTCCTTTTCTCCGATCATGGACCTAGAATGGGAAAAGCTAGATTGTCTTTACAGGTAGGAGGTTTTATTTATAGGTATCAAACTAAATCATAGTTTGAATAGTAAGTTCGGTTCTGTTTAGAGAGGTAAATCACATCAAGAAAGTGTGCCATTCTTGCAGAAAGTTTACCTTTGTAGAGGCAGGTGTGCCCGTCTCAAAAGAAGTAAGATGTATCTAAAAAAGTCTTCCCTGAAATCGCAACAAGCCTTGCTATTATGAAACAAACTTTTTTTGATGTGCAGAAGGGCTGGGAGGTTACAGGTGTGGCTGCAAGGTCACTCCATCATGCAAATATACAAACCGCGGAGATCGAATTTGCTGCCTCTTTATTTTGCGCTTGATCAGTAGCACTCCTCGAGGTTCCCTTTCAGCTTTGGTCATGGTGGATCTTTGTGTAAAGTGTAGTTATCGGAAAGATGAGGTTGAGATGGTATATTAGAGAGGGAACACTACCCATTAGGAGAAATGTGCCTCATTCAAGTTTGAAGGGGAATTCTGAATTTCTGCAGGACCAGTCGTTTTATAGTAAGCCTCTTAAAACCAAATTTACAAACGGTAGCGGTATGGTGGCGTATATCATGCCCTCGAAGGATGGCATGCATTGTTTTGTTTAAGCTCGTTTTAAGTTCGCCGAATTTGGATCTTGTGCGACCAGTCGTAATTGTGTAGACCTGCTGACTCATTGATTCAATTTTTTAGTATCGAAGCTTCATGGACTGGAAAATACCTGCCTGCAGCGTCTAAATTTGCTAACTACCCAATAAAATCGGGATTTTTCTATATTTTGCTTGTTTTTTCCTTCAAAAAAGCCATTTCTAAAACAAATATTGCATTGAATTAGTGCATTTTTATCTTAGGGGAAACTAGAAGAACGTCTACCTATGCTAGCCATTATTCTTCCTCGTAAATTCGCTCGTGATTGGCCTGAAGCCATCTCAACTCTCCAATCCAATGCCAATCGTCTCTGCTCTCCATTCGACGTTCATGCGACCCTCAGACACATTCTTACCAATTCAACCAATCAGAGCGTCCGGGGTCACAGCCTCTTCGCTCCTTTACCATGGCAATGCACATGCAGTTGCGCAGGTGTCGCTCGTCATTGGTGCACCTGCGCACATTGGGTTACCTTAAAGCCCAATGAAGGCGGTGAATGGGCCGAGGAGGTAGCGAGAGCTGCTGAGACGACCTTAGAAACAATTAATGCTGCTACACGAGTTCTCTTTGCTCAAGAAGGCTTGAGGCTGGTGAATGTGTGCGAACGACTTGAAGTGGACAAGGTGAGTTGAAACAGTCGACTATCAACGTCACGTCTCCGTGGTATACATTATTTATGCGTTTGACACCCTTTTTTCAGAATTAATAATGAGGGTAAAGGAAGACTGGTGGTACTATCAATGCAGAGTACAGTAAAAGACCCAGGATGTACGAGATTGTTTGAAGGATTAGCCGCCTAGGTGGAGTGAACAGGCTCCAAATCACGCAGTGGCGACCCCTGCACTTCGTGCACAATTGCACGGGACGCCAGCATGACAACGCCCAATTTAGGAATCTCTAGTTTATCGACGGTGTTAGCCTTTGTTTATCTTGAACTGTCGTTGTCACAGGAAGACCGATAATCCAGGTGTTTTACATGTGCGGAGACTATTAACCCGTTTACGGTCATCGGACCACTTCACTGAGAGGCGTAAGATTTTACCACCAGTAGAGGGTTAAAGACACCCTCAGAGGAGAGTTGACCACTACAGTTAAAGTAGTTTATATGTATCAGCACTTTTGCGTCTCCTTTTAGATTTAGTTCACCCGCTCATACGAGGAATCTGGGGTGTCACATATATGTGACTGCTATTCAAAATTTTAAGATTATCTAGGGACAGTTAGCAAGACATTGAACCCTTTTTCTCATAATCTCAAGTTTAATTGTCATTTGTTCCTTGAGTCAAAATCCTTATCCATCTATACAGCAGGACTTTTGCCATTATCATTAATGCCACGGAGGTACTACGAAGTAGAGATGCACTTCTACATCTGTTTACTAACAGATGGACTAGTTAGATAACATTTTGATGGAGATTGTATACATCCTATTTTTATCTCTCCCAGGCAAGTTCGCATGTGATTCTACCATCTTTATCGAAGTTCTAGGAATCTATTTGAACTAGAAAATTCGGTCGAATGAAGGAGGGGTTGTGATATTTTTATGAAATAATTTGCCCCAAAAAAATTCACCAATGCAATCTGAAATCCTTCCCCAGCTGCGTACAAGTTTGTAAATTCCACTTTTTATGGGACAATTGAACTGTGGTAGGATGAATAATGACTGAACGCCTTCCCTTCTACAGCTTATTTGCCAGCCATCTAACGCTTAATGCGAGGGAAAGGGCGTTCATCCCCTGGAAAATGAATAAATGTGTAAGGATTGTGGCGAGTGAAAAAGGAGTCATCTCACAGCCAAGTTTTATGCTGGCACGAGGTAGGAGTCTATCCGTTGTCTTTAATGAAAAAAACTCTCCTTAAACTGACTTAGTGGGTCTTCAAAGCCTGAAGATGTTTTGTCACCTCTGAGTTGCATCGAGCCCCATTCAGTAGGCGGACCTTTGCCGGAATCGATGTTTGGTCGTCAGCAAGAAATTTATCTTGTACAGTTGTTCCTGTACCGTTAAATGGGGTGCCATCATTCGGAGAATTTGGAGGTAAGCGATGGGATGGGGCTAACCGTTCGCCT